TTTGATGATCCGATCTATGACGCGATCACGTCCCACGTCTCGATCGCGAGGAAAAAGAAGTCTGCGATCCAGGGCTGTTCAGCGAGGTGTGCGAGTGGTGGAGATCGTGTAAACTGATATATATATATATTTATTTACATATTTCTGTATTTATACATATGTGTTCAGGCGCTCCGCCGCCCCCCCCCCCCCCTCCCCCCATGGTCGGGTGTGGGGCACCTCTTTCCCCTGAGTGGGGTTTTGGGGTTAAGGGTTTAGCTTAAGCTTTTGAGTTTGGGGTTTAGGGTTAAAAGGTATAAGTCTTCGAGTCGACACGGGCTCAGGGATGGTTTGGGGTGTAGGTTGGTTATGGTTGACGGTTTATGTTCTGCAGAGTCTGCATTTAGGTGGGGTTTGGTTTAATTGAATCATGCTTTCTTCTCGTTCCATAATATTCAGTTAAACATGACACAACAGAAACACACAAACCCAGAGCCATAAGATAGAAAAGTAGTTTAACACGCCTTAATTAAATAAAAGGAAAGAAAAAAGGGTAATGAAGAGGAGCGAAAACCCGCTTTTGTTTTCCTTCACTGAAATGAAATGGGGTTTTTCAACGAATGAAGAGGAACGAAACAAACTAAATTCACGCCTACAGTTCATCCCATAAGTTAGCCTTCGTTCTCCCATTCTGGTTGTTCCCTTCACGACTCAACAGGGTAGCTCCTGGATACAGAGGAAAAGAAGAGAAAGACACGACCAAAAGGAAACAAAGGTAAGGAACGCACGCTCTTTTTTCTTTTGTTCATGCTTTCACCTCTTTTCGCGTGACAGTTGACCACCAGAAGACAACGCAAAAGATTAAATTAAAGGAACTGAGGGTTGGGTGTAGGGTTTAAAGTACAGGTTAAAGTTAATGAAAACAGGAGCACACCCTGCGTTGTAGGGTTTATGGCTTGCGTAGGGCTTGCGTAAGATCCCGGCCCTCACCCTGACCCCTGGCCGCCCACCAGCAGCACCCCACCCTCCAGCTTCATCTCCAACGGCCCCCCCCGCCCTCTTTCCGCACACGCCAAGCCGCTCCCACCCCTACCAGACCATACCATGAGGGGGGGGAGTGGGAACGCCAGACGCTGACCAACCATACATATATATATATAAATATATATATATATATACACGTATGTATACTCATAATCTACATACCGAATCAAAATACACCTAACCTTGGTTTATGCACGAGAGGCCTAAACGTCGGATGGTTCGTGACAGTATGACCTTCCTTTTTGCTTCTGAATCTCACGTGCCTGCGATTTTGTTTGCACTCAGCTTCGGTTTGCATTTTCTTACCGAAAGCGGGGCAGAAGGGTTCTGATAAGGGAATTTATGTTACAGCGCTGGTCAGCGTTTGCAAGGGCCCACAAGCGCTCGAGGCGTGCCCAGAAAGGTCTTGGCAGGATCTTGGAATGCGGCAGCTAAGCCGGAACGCATTCGGGTTCGTGGCATAGCAGCATACACAAAAAGTTTAGGACACCCATCCCACTTGTCGGGAACGCTAGGACCGCTGGAGACCTCACGAAATACTCGGCAATCTCAACTCCGAAAGCATAGGAGATTCTGACGGAGTCTTTTGAAGCCAGAGAACCCAAGACCACGACAAAATACCAGTTAAATGCCATGAGAACGATCGACCTCACTCTTGGTGATACGTCTCGGCCCCAGGCTCACAACGTTTTCGGCAAGACGCTATCTTTCCTGCAGGCAGGCAGATGCTTGATATTGCATGTTGTTCGTGAAGCTGTGGATGCGTGTGCTGCGGGTGACCGGGAGGTTGGAAGAGACAACGAAGGGGCTGCCAAGGCGAGTGCCTTGTCATTGTTGGCGGAGGTTGGCGAGAAACAGAGAGACGACCGCGGCTTAGAGAACGCTGCCATATCCCAGTTTCTCGCATCCCTGGCTCATGTCGCTCCCAGGCTCGCTTGGCCACATTGGCGCTCACCATGCACCCTGTCGGAGAATGTCTGGTGAGTCTTGCAGCTGCTATCTTTGCGGTGGTTTCGAGAAGGCATCAGCTCTTAGCCTGGCACCGGCGCACGTGCATCAGGAAGTTGGACACCTTTGAGAAGGTCAAAAAGGCGATTGACGAAATGAGGGTAGCCCTCAAGCAGGAGCAGGAGGCAGAGAAGAAGAAGAAGGCATCGGCTCCTCTACGAGCCTTCTTTTGGAGCTCGCTCGGACAGCTAAGACCACTTTTGCTGCCGAGAGGATGGCATTATTGTTAACATCGTGAGTCGTAACCCACCTTTGTTGAAAGGGTCAGCAGTAGGAGCTGCTACTTTTTCTCTGCCTACTGGGAGCCGGACGGGAGCGGGAGCGGGAGCGGGAGCAGAGGAGCAGGAGGAGCAGGAGGAGCCAGCGGCACCACCACTAGCAGTCACTAGCACAACTACCCACCGCCACCACCACCGCTGCCAACGCCATCACTGCCGCCAACGCCAGCAGCCCACCACCTCATCCTCAGCCTTCCTCCTCCGCTGCCCCCAATGTTGGACGTGGCTGCTGTCATCACGAAGTAAAAAAACACATCCTGCGAGCATGTTTTGTCGCGCACCCTCTGAGGTGGAGCATCATGTTAGCAGAAGTTGCTGCCAAGAGAGTGCAGATAAACTTGTCGGATCATACACAGGCCTTTTGCCTTGCCCACTCAGGCAAGCCCAGAGTGTCACCATCAGTTCCAAGTTGAAAATTGTTCAGATATTAGGCTTGCACATGCTTGCACGTATTCGTGCAATATGGTCCGATTTGTTAGTGGCTGGAGGATTGGTGCACGTCCCAGTTTCAGAAGAAGAAGTTGGAAACACAGGAGAGGCTGTGCCTGCATCACCATGCATACGCCTCCTTCGCAGTGACAGGAGAAAACTCACGAAGAGCAGACCAAGATCGCGGAGATGGAAAGCCTTCACAGCTCCGTCTCGCAGCTGGCTGGGGACATCAAGCCTGACGCTCAGCCTTGAAATGGTCAGTGTCAGTGTCACAGCAACAGGATATTCTGTTGCCGAGGCTCTTGGAGGACGAGGCGAGAAGCCGAGACACTGTCGAGACTCTCACGGTGAGTTTCACAGCCAACGTCTTCTTGAGGTCTCCGAAATGAACAAGCAGCTTCAGGTAGCGGGTCAAAACCGCGAGAAGGAAAACAAGGACTGGAGCGCCCGCGGAAGCCGTTGGATGTGATGATACCGACAGGCACGAAGATGTCTTTGCACGGCTCTCATGCCCCACCAGGAGTTCCAGAAGGTTGTGGGAGAGCAGCGCACGACCCAAGTCCTCTTGAAGGAAGCAATGGCATCTCTGAAGTCTGTTTATGCCAAAGAGGTGGGGTTGGAAAACCAGGTGTTTCATCTGCTGCCGGTGCAGCCTTCCCCTTTGGGAGGCCGCTTTCCTCCAGGAATCGACATCGAAAGTCGCAGGCGTCCATGGGGAGGAGCCTGAGTTCAAGGCCCGGGAGACAAGATGAGACACGGAGCCAGGCTTCAGTATCTTCAGTTCGAACGCCTGGGAGGACTTCAAGCAGCAGTCTGGCAGCTATGGCGCATCAAGCTCACTTTCGGGCTGGTACTCTGTGTTCGTAGCCATTGACGATGTTTCAGGTGCTTGGCATGCTGCAACAGTTGATCGCGGACTCGAAGGCGATGGAAGTTGAGGCCGGACCCAGCGACACCTCAGGACACAGCCAAGCGGAGAGAACGCTTTGACGCGCCAGGCGACTCATGCCGAAAGCACAGCACAGGAGGACTACGAGGTACACGATGCGGTGTATTGCAGAGTTTCTTGAATTGCTTTTGTTGCTACTCGTTTCACAGGCTTTTACGAAAGGGACCACCGTGGCTAGTCAGCAAGTGCAGGCTGCAGGCAACGGCATTCGCAGCCCATTAACGTGCAAATCAGGCATCTGTGGAAGCGAAGACGAAGGACATTACGGACAAAGATGCGGACAAGGGAGCCACAGAGGCTTCCCTCGTGGAGGCACGGACAAACAAGTAAAAACAACTCTTCGCGCTTCGTCCCTGGCTTGAGTGGGGCTTGCAGGCTCGGCAGTCCAAAGAAGGCCTCACGGCGGAGTTGGAGAACCTGGCCACCGCCGTTGCTGAGCTGCACGCTGCACGCTGAGCAGCTCTGAGCTTTGCGGGCAGGGGACTTTGGAGACTTAAGACTCTCGGCTTCCAGGACGAGTGTGACTACATGATGCAAAACTTTGATGCTCGGTGGCTGCCTCAGAACCGGAAAAAAGAATGCAGTGAGAGATGTAGCCTGCTTCGCCCAGCAAATAGTCTGGTCTGCGAGGCAGTCAGCGCGAGGCGACGAGATGGAAGCGTTGCAGCAAGCAAAATCGATGCTGTCGGGTGCAAAGGCGAGGGTCTCGGTGCATTTTTGAAAGTGCACGACTGCATTCGCGAATAGCTCTGCTCAAGCGCGGTTGGATGCCGAGGCTTGATGCTGACGAACAGCGGAATGACGCAGAAAATGTATGCCTTCAAGACCTGCTTCGTGAAGGGTCAGTGCTTTCAGTGCTGCGGTCACTGGATACCTGTGCTGCTCAAGTCGTTGGCGAGTGTCTATCTATGCACTTAGTGGACATGCAGACCAAGAGGCAGCGCTGCCTGTCCACAACAGCACCACAAGCAAGTCAAGTCCTTGCAGTGTTATACAATGGTTTAAACCCGTTCAGCAATGGAAGGCCGCCAGCGACCCATTTGTCAAGGCTTAGTTTCAACCAATCCAAGAGTGTCCCGGGGATTTTGTCAGGCCTTCCCAGCGGCGCTGCAGAGTCGCAAAGTCGACAGGCAGCCAAAGTGGCCTGAACCTTAGGAACCGTCATCGTCAGAATCAGGCACGGGAGGGGTTCTAGCGTTGGCTTCTTTTGGATTTGTCACGTTTGGATCAATCGAGGAATCCCTTGCCGAACTTCAACAAGCCCCCCTGTACAGCGGCCAGTCGCTTTTACATGGATGCCAGCCATGGAGGCATCCCGTGCATTCCGACGGATTCAGGATACACCATCGGCTCCAAGCTACCATCACCACTGCGCTGCTTGCGAAGGAGATACCTGATGTGCAATGTGTATAGTGTTGCACTGCATGACTGAGGATGGCTGAGGCTCGCGTCACTCGAGTCACTCGTTCGCTCAGAGCAGGTCCAGCAGCCTCCACTCCATGCAGCCGACGCAACCGGCGCAGCCGACGCAGCCCGTGCAGGTGGCAGCACTCCTGTACTGAACGCACCAGAACGACTAGTGACTAGTGATGACTCGGACTCGAGTCTCCTGACTGGGCCTGTTTCTGATGCACGGGGCGCGGGTTGGGCCGGTGCCAAGCACGCATACTCCGTGGACAGGCGCTGAGCCAGGAGGCGCGCGGGCTAGGCAAGATCTGGACAGGGACAGTAGCTTCTGCTCTTTCAGAACCTGGGAGGGCTCCCCGTCGCATCTGCGGTCCCCGAGGTTGAGGTCAAGGCAGGCGCTTGATTCGCAGTGCAATGTCCATTCCTCGGCCAGTGTTAGGCCGAGACCACCGCTGCCCTTGCCACGAGCTGCGCGGCGGCTGTTGCTCCCGAAGGAGGATCGTCGGATGAGGCATTGCATTCGGCATCTCTCCCCTGCTTCAGAGCTTGCAAAGGAGGATCGGTCACGGACAGGACCCCGTCTCGGCAAACCCCTGCCTGCTTTGCCTCTGCCTCTGGGACTGCACGAACATCTAAGGTGCTCAAATTCCCCAGCCCGAGGCTTTGAATTCCAGGCAGAAGCAGAAGAGAAGTGGTTGCGCTTTGGCAAGCATGTTGGCAAGCACTTGAAAGGCCGCCGCAGCCAGGCCAAGACGGATCGGAAACTTCGGCCTGGGCCTCTTTACAGCCTGGACATTGGAAGAGCTTGTGACCCCCTTCCTGGGTTGCCTGTGATGCTTGTGTCTTTATCACCAGATCAGCAGACGCTGTATGCCTTGAGCAGAATATGTCTTACAGTTTGTTGCGTTGACACTGGATGATACACCTCGGACTTTGACAGCAAGCACTCGGTGCCGCCGGTAGTACTTTCAGCCAGATGAAATGAGCACGCCAGCATCACCGGCATTCAGAGCCATGGCGCCTGGCGGGAAAGAAAGCCAAAGTATGCCCCCGCCTTCGCAGAAGCGCCGGCTTGAACCGCAGGCCTGGCTTTGCCACCGGCATCACTGAATCACTTGCCGTTCCATCCTTCAAGGATGATCTTCCTCATCCGCGGAGGCAGTGCTACCTGTGCCATGCACCATGTCTGGCGACACACCCATCCAGGCAATGCCTCAACAGGAAGTTTGAGTCGGACCTCGAGAGTCGCTTTCGCAACTTCCTCAGGGATGCGCCCCTCCAGGCCAACGAAGTCATGCTCTCAGCAGTTTGTGGGCAAGAGGGATCCTGAGACCAAGTTCGAACACTTTTGCAATTGGGATTCCGGAAACTCATGACCTTTCTAGGTTCGTTCAATTTACCACGAAGTGCCGACACAACGACATGTGTGTTTTCTTCAGGGGTCGGGTGGTAATACGGCTACACCAAACTTCAGCAGCACTCCCTCTCCCTCCCTTTCACTCCTCTCTCCGTCCTCTCATTCTGCCGAATTGTGGTCCCATTGCGGTGTAGTGCACGTGTGCGAGTAGGAACAGGCGCCTGCATGCGCCTGCGGTCGACTGCCGAAGCATTCGGCTCGACTGCTAATTTCGAGTTTCCCTTGCGCCTTTCGCCTCCCATCGTCTGGTCGTGGCTTCGATTGGCGCCGACTCCTTCGCCGCACTTGCCGCCGCCGCCGCCGCCGGCGATGCCGACGTCCTCGACCTGCATGGCGGCGGCCGGCTTGGTTTGGGCTGGTGGCCCGACATCGACATCGGCAGGAACTACCTCGCGGCGATGGTGGTCGATGATCCCGCCTCTGGTGGGCATTGGGAAACGACTCCCAAGCCCACGTCGGAGCAGTGGTCGTTTCGTCGGGCGGCTCATCTTGGCCGCAACGATATCCTTTGACCGCCTGACCGGCGCGGCTTCGGGGACCGCCCGCCGAGACGCGACCATGGAGGCTGCGGGGATTTCATCGGGCCACCGTCCTAGGCCTGTGGTGGCGCCGGCCGACAGTTTCGCGCTGTGGGTGGACCTCGACCCCCGGCGCCAGCCTCCAATCACCGAGGGCCTGCGGGCCTCGCTCAGCAGTGTCACAGCTCTACGGGTGACCTTGATGAGGGTGGCGCTCGTCGGGCCCTGGGTGGAGCCCGGCCCGCCCACAAAAGAGGCCTTGTTGCCTTTTGGCACGGTCGATGACCAGCGCTGGGATCGTCACCTTCACCATCCTTCACCTAGACCGGACCGGGCGGTCGACGAGCACTGCGCCTCCGCACCTCACATGTCGCACGCTCACGGCCTGGCCCGAGCTCGAGCCGGCCCTCGAGCAGGTTCGGCACAAGTGGGATGACGACTCCCCGGCAAGGACCGAGGGGTGGACCCGGTACGGTTCTTGGGGCGGGTGTTTGCGCTTCAACCAAAAAGGGGCACCTGCACCTTACTTGAATTTTGTCAAGCGCGTTGTGAGCGAGCGCTTGTTGTGTAGCGCACGTGTGCGAGTAGGAACAAGCCGAAGCATTCGGCTCGACCGCTAATTTTGAGTTCCCGCCCATGCCACCTGTTGATTGCTTCGACTACGGTTCAGACGGCCGGCATCCGCCCGACCGGGCGGTGTCTGGGGCGGATGCAAAAGTGCGCACTGCGTACCCCGGCACCGGCACCGGTTCTCGGAGCGGGTTGCCCGGCCGGGAGCTGTTCGCGCTTCAACCGAAAAGGGGCACCTGCACCTTAGTTGGAATTTTGGCTAAAGCGTCGTTAGCGTAGCGCTTGTTTTGCTTTCGCTGTTGCATGAAAAGTTTTACCAATCCTATACGCTGCATCACAAATATTAGATCGGCCGCTGCCACAAATCCTCAATCTTGAGAGCTTCTGCTTGTGCTCTGAACACCCACAGATCTCAGGCGAAGCCTTTTCCGGGCAGCTCGTTCAACGCTGCATCGCCAGGAGTGGCCTTGGTCATTGGTCGTCGGCCACTCAGAGCTTCTGCCTTAGCGCCGGGTCGAGATCAAGTTGCTTTTCAAAGTGCCAACTGCTAGTTGTGACTCTGCGCCGCCCCCAAGGAAAGCTCCTAATTTCAAGGTTTTCGCACATTCTGTCAGCCTGTCACTGCTCTGAGTGATGACACTAGGGTAAGAATCCCTAGGCCCTAGTTGGAGAATGGCTACGCATGTAAAAGTAAGAAGGGGCAGGAAAACTTGTGTGAGGTGTTGTCGGCGGCAAAGGAAAGCCGCACGACATCGTGTTGCCGGTGGCATCGGAGGTGCTCATGGAGGCATCGTGCGACATGTAGACTCTGCAGATTTGTCTTCTTATGCTTGCGCGTTTGCGTATCGTCGAAATGTTGTCAACGGAGCACTTAAAGTTTTTGTTATTGCAAGCTGCAGCAAGCAAGCAAGTTGAGTCTCCTGCCAAGCTGTCCGTACACTCTCTGCTTTGGTTCCATAGATGTAGCAGCAATTCCCTGGGTGTTGCTCATCGGATATCCGGGCGGCTCGACATAAAAACGAACATAAACTCGGCAGGCAGCATTTGCAATTTGAATGACGATGTACAACGGGAAACAGAGTCGGAAGCAGTGAAGACCTCTTCTAATGTAGGTTTGTGTGTTGTGGGTTTTCCTTTTGTCTCTTTGGCCATTGCAGCATTCCTTAATCAAAGGGGTCTGTCACTTGCGGTGACGCGCGTCTCGACAAAGAAGGGGCCAGTTTGAGCCCCCAACGACGTGCACGAAGCCTCTGTGCAGTGCGAGGGCGCCGGGCGGGCCTGCTGGCGAGGAGCTCTCTGTGACGCCTGCTATCGTCTGTCGCTGGCGAGGATGGGCCCGGACACAGCTTCGTGCCGGATCTCTCAGAGACGCAAGTCTCAAAGTTGCGAGCCTTCTTGGACAGCCGCGTGGTGGCGCACAAGGCATTAGCCGATGATCCTCCAAAGTCATGCTGTGCCTGATTCAATGTGCAGGGAAAGCCGCCGAATGAACGGCGATGGGCAAGCGTCAGCCTGGAGCAAAGGCACACCGTTCACCTGCTGGTGCAAGCTTCGTGAAATAGGCCGGTATAGGTGACAGCCAGTGATAGTGCATTGCATATTGTCTCAGGAATGCAGTCTTGTGTAAGTGGAGATCCGCTGCAACCTTCTATTGCCCGGGGAGCAAATGGCACTACCAGCTCAGGTGGGGCTGCTTTGGTCGTTGTCCTTTTGCGCGTCGAATGGCTACCGAGGCTCCGCGAGCCACAGTCGACAGAAGGACGCCTTGCAAGCCTATGCATCGGGAGTGGACTATTGCCGTGAAGCTTGCTGGTCGGAGGAGCTGGCAAAGATCGGAAGGAATTCAATTTGGTCTTCCAGAAGGCTCCGACCTCAGCTGCGGGAAACGATCTGCTTGTGTCGTGAATAGTTCTTGAAAAGGATCGGGGAGGGTGTGGGGGGAGGGGGAAGCCTCCATCCCTCCCTCGGTGCAGCTCTCCAACCTGGGTGTGAAGAAGTCAGACGGAAGGGCTTCTTTAATCAGCGCGTGAGATTGCAGAGGTGCCTGGTGGCCAAGACCCAACATGGACGGTGTCTATCGTTCAAGAAGCAGAAAAGATCTGGACAGAGGTTCGCATGAACGAGGCCGCAGGACGTGGGTTTGGTTTTGGCAGCACTATCCAATGTCGCTTGGAGGCGTTTCTTTTCAGCCATCGGGACCGAATGCTTGCGTCGCAGCAGCACTGTTTCAGACGCTTGGTGAAAGTACTCTGGTCATGAAGTACTGCACGATTTCAGTGACTCGTGCACAGAACCTTTGCATCGTGAAATTAGGCCGCCTTTGCAGAGATTTTCGCAGAAACGCGCAAGCATTGCAGAAGGTCCTGGAGGGCATTGACCCCCATTCATCAGGCTCCTTCGTTTCGCACTTCCTTGTTTTGCGTTGCCGATGGTATAGGCATGGTTTGACGATGTTACACATTGATGCCCCAGGTAATGGCGGCAGGAGGCTCTTCTACCCGGGCATCTTTGACATGGCCTCTCAGGTTCAAGAGTTCTATGATAGACGGACGCGAGGGCAGGTGGATGCTAAAGGCCAGCTTGCGCTGCACGATCTTGCGTGGAGGAATGCGAGGTTTGGAACACAGTTGCAAGTTGCAGGTGTAGATGCAACGGCCAGACTCAGAAGCTTCAACAACTGCATCAAAACTCTTCTCCTGGAAAGTGGCTCGGCAGCCTGCGAAAAAGGGCGAGGCTAGCTGAGGTTTGAAAATCGGTACTCGCAGCCTCGTAGCTACTTGTTGCACCTGCATGGTTCCTCATCCATGTTTGGGCGGCTAGCTGACTTGTCAGGATCGTCCGCAGTTGGAATGTTTAGCAAAAATTCCTGCAGCAGGTGTGGGCAGTTTTTGAGTTCGGCAACACCATGGAAGGGGGTCGAATACGGATCATCTGCAATCAGCTCGCAGACCCTTACCCATGCGTCGTGATATAGCTTTATACGCGGCTTCTTCCTGTGGGGTACAGCTTGCTTGTGTCTCTGTCTGTCTGTCTGTGTGTCTGTGTGTGTGTGTGAGGGGTCATTGCCGCCACAACAACCGACTCCCTCAATGCAGTCTAACACCGGTGAGTTTATGCTTCGGAGCTGAGGCCTCCTCCCTTGTAAAGTAGACGAGTTGGAGTCGAGTTGACAGAACACTTGACACACTGCCACCGCACAGCCCTTGCCTTCGACCACAGATGCATCTGTTGGTAACTCCTTTGCCCGCGGTCACCAGCATGCCTCGGTTTCTGGACTTTGCCTGGTCGTGGCTGCACCCTCGCTTCGTGTCATGACGTCAGCTCAGTATCAGTCGTCTTTTCATGTTCGCGCCGCGCACTGACAGCCGTTGGGTTGCTGGATGTTGCTGGCTCAGAAAGAGCGATTTCGGAGGCCGTAAAATCAGCTGATCATTGGGATCTCGATGTTGAGGGAATGTGAGGACCATTTGGGGGCCTGTCAAAGCCGAGGCTTTGTGGACGACATGGCTGGAAATCTACGAATCCTGGACCTTTGCTGCGGCCGAGGGCAGGACTTGAAGAAGCAGCTTGTCATCGTGGTGATCACGTGCATCCAGCGGTCTAAGGCATCTTCTGGCTCTGTGTCCTTGATGCTAAACATGCCCACGAAGGTACTCTCGGGCGCATCGCAGCTGCAACGTTGAATCTTTGGTTTGTGTGGACTTTGTGGCAGAAGCTGTCGCAGAAGCCAGGCGTCGTTACAGTCACTTTGCTTGAGAACTTGTAGCCTATTCCATTTCCCCCATAGGATGAGCAGTTTCCACAAGGCCACATTAGTGTTCACAAGTTTGGTGAGTCTTTCTGCAAGGCGAGATGGCGGCAAGAGGTCACGAAGCTGGGCGGCCCGACTTCGCGGCATCGTTCTACACTGGTGACTGTAGCAGCGCCGAAGTCTTCAACGAGTTGGCTCAGGATGGTTTTTCAGAGCGGCGTGGCTGTCACAGTTCGCTCCGAATGTACGGCAGGGAGATGCCCGTATAGGCTTAAAGTCATCGACTCTCCACGCAGGTAGCCATCATTCATGTTCGGGCTGAGCTTTTTGAGCCAAGTCTAGCAGTACCGAACACGCTTAATACACCACCAGGCAGCACAATGGTGCTCGCGAGTGCACTGAGCACAACAGACTGTTTCGTTCTGCTCACCGGAATCACGCAGTGAAGCTTTGCCTTAAGAGAGTTCTGCAGAGGTTTGATGTCATTGTGTGCCAGTTTGGCCTCCACTATCTCTTGGGAGCAGAGGAGGCCTGGGGAGGATTTGATCCACTTCTCCGCAGCCCTGTGAAAGCCGGGACTAGCGACGAGGATGCCACTCGTTTCCTGCAGCGAATCTTCGCGCTTCTTCGGCCGGGGGGTCGCTTCATTGCCACGGCCCGAAGCACAGCAAACGGCAGAAGAGGCATACGTGCGTGATCCAACCACAGCAAATCTCTACTTGGGCAGGTACCTTCGTGTGAGGTGCTAGCAGATTTGTATGAGCAAGCAACCCCTTTCACTGACAGTGGCAGGACGGGTTCAGTTTGATGAGCTGCAAGCTGCATCCTTGAGCTTGAAGCTGGTTCGCCAGGAGCCGCGAACGCGAGCTCCAGCAGAGCTTGTTTCAGGTTGCTTGGATGTGCCGGCCTGTGGTGCAGGGATGAGTGCCATCTGCAAAGGTTCGCTTCGAAGGAGAAGCCTGGCGACACTTGGACACTGAAGGCGGTCGGCTGAGCCTGGATGAGGCCCTCGTGCTCAGGCCGTGCTTACGAACGCAAGAAGACGTGGAAGCTGACAGGTCTTCCAAAGTCGCTGGGGTTTGCCCTACCTCTTCTGGCTGAAGGGGGCTGTTTGTGCTGAGGCCCGGACATGCTCTGTCACGTCTTAGCACGTGGCAAGCTTGCAGCAGGAGTATCTTCTTCCCTGGGAAGCTTTTGAAAAGCTTGCCGAATCCACAGGCTTCAGGCCTCTTTGGTTGCAGATGCAGCACTATTTCGTGCGAATTTATGTTGTGCGAAGGCAGCTGTGCAAGTTGCATAAGTTGCGGTGGGCTATGGTAGATTGTCTCGGCGGTGTAGCCATGATCCAAGTGTGATGGCGGATGCGTCCTTCCCGGATCTCCTCAGCTTGTTGAAGGACAAGTGCGGCCCCTACGTCTGCTGAGAATCGCAGGAATTTTTTCGGCGCTGGGAGCCAGCAGGTCTGAGTCCACTGAGCCAGGAGTACATCGTAAGACGGTAATAGCCGCATTGCGTCATGGAAAGCTCAGACTACAGCAGGTATTCATGGTCATCACGCCGTGTGCCTAAGGTCAAAGTTCTTCAACGACTTTTTTTCAAAAGAGGCTTGGCACCGCTTGGCCCTAGAGAAGCTGCCACTGTTTCGCTGGGCATACCCATGAATCACGCTGTAGCTCATTGGATCTCAGGACAGAAGAAACGAAAATATGAGCTGTGACGAAGAACAAGTCTTCAAGCTGTGCCATGCCGGAAGCAGCCAAGGGCCCGTCACTGGAACCCTGTCTGTGCTTTCGTGATGCCGGGGCGAAAACCGAAGCGTGTGCAAGGTACAGCGGATTCGTGCTGGAGCGTCCCGAGACTGAGACAGAAAAGAACGGATGCTCCCAGTGGTCCTGAAGAAGGGCCATCCACGGTCACCAGTCGAGAGCTGTGCAACTGAAAGTGTACCTCAGCCCTCTGGCAAAGCACCTTCAAAGGCAGACACCGAGCGGAACTTCACAGGCCATGGTAGCTTCGAAGAAGGTCGAAGATCGGTACATTGACGTGAACCTTTCAGTTTCGTCGAAGGTCCAGCCAAGGCATCGCAATACTTGGGTGGTGCCAGGCCCCAATTGCCTCATCGAGTGAATTTAAAGCTGTGCTGCTCTGGATGCCGCTGCTAGAGTAGCAACCGTTGGTGTTCTGTGCCAGAACACCCACACTCGCCGGACTTCGTGCACTTTCCTGTTCCGGTCGACGAAAAGTTCCTGGAGGCGAACGAGGTCCGACCAATGTCTGAGGACGCGTCTCTCTTGTCGGGTCTTGAGGACAAAAGTTGGGAGCCGGAGTCCCAGAGTTGCAAGTGGACACCTTTGCCAGTACAGCCGCTAGAGGATGCTGGGATCGGAAGCAGTATCCAGACGATGCCACCGGTCACGCTGTGACCCCGGTGGTCTTTCCGCTGAGCATTCCTCAATGCAATTTGTTCAATAGGCTGCCGAAGCACATGGCGCAACCTCCACCATTGCCGCCAGTCGACCGCCAGTGCCCAAGCCTCCCTGCGCCCGCGGTGAGATCGGCCTCCGATGGCACCGAGGTTTGCCGTGTCGAAGCCAGCTCGAGGCTCTGCCAGAGACCTCGGCTCGTGCTCTCATCCTTGCTCTCTTCCAGAAGTCTCTCCCCCGCAGGTGAGACACAGCGGCAGGCCGGCATCTGTGCCTTTCTATGGCTGGTAATAATCAGTAAGCTGTCTCGGCTGACCGCATGGGCTTCCCTGACTCCGCAGCTCCTCGCTCACAGCTGGACATGCGCTGCAAGACAACTAACACTTAACATGTTCCCATACTCAGACCCCGGTGCACCATCTCGTTACCAGTGTTTATGTCTATTTGTGCCGATTACATCCATCAACGCACAACAACAGAACTCTTATTTTTTTCGCGTTGAGAGCGCGCATAAAGCGCACAGGGGAGCCTAACATCACACACACACACACACGCACACACAGACACAGACAAACAAACACGCCACACACACACACACATGCAGAAAGAGAGCATCTGCTATGTCACAGATGCATAAAATCATAGCAATTTCTGTCTCGCGTGCTGGGTGGTCATCATCTCAGCGCATGAATCCTGCAATCCCGTGGCTTGCCCAGTTGCTGTTGTGTTCCTGGACATGCCTCGGCTGCCGTCCCAGGGCTCGCCGCTGAATGGAAAGATTCAGAGATGCTACAGATGAGGAGGCTTCGGCTTCGACGTTACGAAGAGTGTTGAGCGTAATGGGTGTGGAGGCAACGTTCACGTGAATCTCGATGCAGACTAAGGCAGCCTTGGTGTCCAGCTGGGCATACTCCGCCTGGCGGCACCTTGGCACAGATGCCTACCTATTCTAGACAACCAATGGTACCCTTTTCACATCGATTTTTGCGCCCTCGAGGGCCATGGTCTCCGAAGGCCGCAAAGAGGTGGCATCCTTAAACTTCCTTAGACGAAGCAGACTTTATTATTCTGTTCCCGTGTTCTAGAGGGTTCTATTTGGGCACAGGAGACGGCGAAATCCTACGCTCGTACCTTTGTCCGGCTTTTCGAGGAGGAGCGGAAGGCACCAGACTCCGTGCGCCGATGCCACGCAGCGACTGGCGGTGTCAGGCTCCCAGTGAGATGGCCACGCAGGAGTTCTTCGAACTCACGAAGGCTCGCTGCACGAGCCTGTGTCAATCCAAAATGGCTCGAGGACTGTATAACTAGAAGGGGCTCCATTGTGCCGCCCCAGAAGAGTTTGGAAATGTGGTGAAATCGTGGGGCGTTTTTCGCGCCAGGATGTTTCTGAAAAAGGTTGTGCATACCAGAGAATTTGCTTCTATAGAGTCGAAGAGTGGTGCACCAAAGAGAACGGACAAGTCCAGAAAATGAACTAGATACCAGATGTTTACGCTTGATCTGTCCCGAGATTAAACAACACCCGAGCAGCCAGCCGTACATGCAGGCCATTCTGAGGCCCCCTTGCCCTGCCTTCCTCACCCCCTGCCAACAACCCGGGGTGAAAAGCGCAATACATTTTCCACGAAATGTGGCGTAGCATGTATAACCAAGAATGACCGCTCTGGTGACCTTCTACTTGTGGTTGTTCATTGTACCCGAAGGCATCGCCCAAGAACAAAAGTGGGTTGCGGGCTCATGGCACCGTGCAAGGGTGCTTTGCACTGGAGATATCCCGGCTTTAAGAAACCCCAAGGAACGGCCAGCGAGCTGCTTCCGTTGCCGCTTTCCGTAAGTTTTACGACAGCATCCAGGCCGTCGAGGCTGACTCGTATACTGCCTCACCTGGACTGCTTATCGAGGGAGATGTCTCCAAGCTGGAGCGGCCGGACGAGACCCTCAAGTTCTGTCAGGTACGGCTTGTCCAGTCCTGCTAACTGCTGCAGCAACTTGACAGCTGGAAGGTCAGTTTGCCTGGAATGATCAAAGCCCGAGCGCCCAAGAGGAAGGAGCCAGAGTCAGAGGCCGCGCAGGCTGGATGCCGAGCACACGAAATGACTCCCGAGTACTCTGGAAGTCTCTCCTTCCAAGGCGAAGGAGAGCAACGGCCCCGTCGCAGAGGTGCGTTCTCTCTCTCTCTCTCTCTCTCTCTCTCTCTCTCTCTCTCTCTCTCTCTCTTCTCTCCAATCTCTACTCTCTCTTTCTCTCTTCTGGCTTCTCTCTTCTCAATTCTCGCTTCTCGCTTCTCTCTCTCTCGCTCTCCCTCGCTCCATGGAGGCCGAGAACGGCAGGCCCCCACCTCAAGCTTTAAAGGGTCACCCGACCCCCGCCGGATTTCAGAGACACCTGAACTGCCCAGGACTGTCAAGAAACGCAAGCGCGAGCCTCGCCACGAGGACAATGCTGCTTGCCCAAGATCCTGTGTGCTATACTTCGTCTGAGCTGAAACACAAGTCGTGCTTGTGGCTACAGTTCACTCTGCCGCTTCAACTCCTTGATACTTGCCTGGGTCAGGATGTTGAGGGCACGGCTGTTGCCTGAGAGAAACAACGGTGTGCATGTGCTTCGTGCTCCCCTTTCTGTCTGAGGCCGAAAACGGCAGGTTTGCTACCCAGATATGGGCATGGTCGGGCCAAATCAGCCGATTACGACAAACAGGCCAAGGCCAAGCTAGCTCTGCCTTTCATGGGACGTTTGGATTTGTGCTTCCGCCCTCCCACTACGGGTGCAAAATAACTCTCGCATCCTGGTACAAGCAGCTACGGATGCCGCATGAGAGGGGTCTTTTGCTAAACCGCATTGGCATCCCCCGGGCCTGGGAAAACCTGTGAGCGGCTCGGGCGCGCATGCAGAAGCAGATCTTGGCAAGAACAGCCGAGTCTGGAGTTAGTGCCGATCGAGCTTGGAAATACACTTGCGTCACCGGCTGTTTGCTTGGTAAGAACAGGATAGAAGCCTTGGTAGGAGTTTGTATGTCACAGCCAAGGCCACAGAAGCATCCTCACGAACAGCCTCAGGTCCGGCACTCTGGGAAGGGCACTCTGGGGACAGAGGGTGAACAAGTCCTTCCCACAGTCGGCATTGAAAGCAATGTAGCACATCGCCTCGAGGATGCAAGCAACGACACGCCTCAGGAGGCGCCCTGCTACAAGTTGTGGTATCCGGTGTGAGTCTTTTCTACTTCGGATGCTGGGAGGCTTCAGCACCTGTGGTGGAGAGGTTGGCCGATGTTGCGATATGAGAGAGAGAGAGAGAGAGAGAGAGACAGCCAGAGTATAGCCGAGCCACCCAAGGGAAATATTCCCGGGGTGGATTTGAAAAACCCCGCTTGGACTCGCGGGTGCGCGTGCGCGCGCGGAGGGGTAGGGTTCGCCTTGCCTCTCCTGTCCCGGTAGAGAGAGAGAGAGAGAGAGAGAGAGAGAGAGCGCGCGAGGGGGGGTCTTCAGCCTTCCCTTTGTCTGTGTAATTCTGCTGTACATGCGACAAACCTTGAAGCCCCGCAGGACTTGACAGTGCAGGATGCAGCCATGTTCTCATGCAGTCATGTGTTTAACTTTTTTCAGGTTTTCTCCGCCATTTGGAAAACCTTTTCTCGTATGTTTTCTTTTGCTTTTCTTTTTCTCAAAACAGTCTCTCATGTGCA